CACCCAGCTGAGATGGAAAGATTCCAACTCTTGTGGGCAGGCTGGGGTTGCTCTGGGCCAAGGCATCACATGGTCCCTCTGCTTGCTGCCTCACTGCTCCTGTGCTGGGCTCCTTGCTGAGCTCAGGGGGTTTGGAGTGTTTACTGTCCATCTGGAGTCCAGCAGCACCTGCAGGAGGCTCATGGAGTCCTCTACCACTTTGCTCTTGTCTCCAACTCCTGTCCTTCCACATGGTCACATAAGTACGGAGGCATCTTTCTTACCCAGAAGGTTCTGGGTATTACAGGATACTTGGATCAGCCTTGTCTAAATACCAGCAAAAGGAAAGAAAAGCAGTATCTCTTACCATTGGAAAAGAGCAAATTTGTATGTGAGGTTTTTTTAAGTGTCTGTCTCCTGCATCTTCACAGTTTTGGTTTTTACTTAACTTCAATTTTATTTAACGAATTTTATTTTTTCTGACTTTTTTTTAAAGAAACTCTTTGCAGGAAGAAGGTGTCCCTGCAGGGGTGGTAGGAAGACAGAAGAACACAGTAATTTTAGGGCTGACAGAGAGTGCACTGCTCCCTGATGTGCCCCCTGCAGGAATGCAGGCCCAGGTGAAACCCTCACTGCCTCTCTTTTCTTGCTCAGTACGTGTTTGACTACCAGGACAGGGACATCTTTGGCTGTGTGGCAGATATCGGCTGGATCACGGGACACACCTACGTGGTCTATGGCCCCCTCTGCAATGGTGGTACCACGGTCCTTTTTGAGAGCACTCCTGTCTACCCTAACCCCGGTGAGTGAGGTGACTCAGGGCAGCTGGGACATTTCACAGCAGGCAAGGAGCTGGCAGCTTGATGCCAGGACATGAGCAGCAAAGGCTCTGTTGCCTCAGCAGCAGCCCGTGGGCTGCAAGGGGAAGTCTCTTCCTCTGCTTAGAAGTCGCTGCTGCTTCTCCAGGGGTGGAGCTGTTAATCCCTCTCCCTCCCTGCAGAAGGAACAGTAGCAGAGCTAGGTGATCTGAAGAAAAAGGGGCTGCTGCTCCTGAACTACTTCCATCCTTCCCACCATACAATTAACTTGGCTGAGGGTCCTGGCACTGCTGGAGAGCCTTTGCTCTCACCTCTTCTTTCTCTGCCTTGGTGTTGGGCTGGGAGGACCTGTGTTGATGCTTACTGGCCCTGTTTCCATTCCAGGCCGCTACTGGGAAATGGTAGAGAGGTTAAGAATTAACCAGTTTTATGGGGCACCCACCGCCATCCGCCTGCTCCTGAGGTATGGCAATGAATGGGTGAAGAAGTATGACCGCTCTTCTCTCAAAATGCTTGGCTCAGGTAAGTGCAGCAAAATGGGCTGGGGCAGCAAATCCCTGGACATCACATTGTGCCTCTTCACACAAATGCCAAGAGTAGCAGCACATGAGACCCCAGAGTCAAGAGAATGCACTATTTCTGCTCTGTCCCATTGTTTTCCCCTTGCAGTGGGGGAACCCATCAACAAGGAGGCATGGGAATGGTACTTCCGTGTAGTTGGCGAGACACGATGCCCTGTAGTGGACACTTGGTGGCAAACTGGTGAGATGCATTGATTCCTTGTTCCAGCTTCTGCTCTCCCAGGCTTTAGGAGTGACCTGCTGCTTTTCTGGCCAAGTGATAGTGGTTGTTGCTGACAGTCTTGTATGGGCAAGGCTGTAAGGGCCCTTGAGCACCCAAATATACAAGAGAAAAATGGCCTTTAAAGTTAACCTAGATAAACATAGGGATTTGAGGGTACATCTCAACAGATCCCTGCTGAACTAAATGAACATCATCATCCTTCTGCAAAGTTCCTTCCCCAGCTCTCTGGCAAAGCCAGCCCCAGCCCATGCAGTGTGTAGTGAAGGACAAGGCAAAGGCCAAGCAGTGCTACTTGGCATTCCTCTTATCTCTGACTTTGATGAGCCTTACAGTTTCTCTTCCTTCAGAAACAGGAGGCATCTGTATCTCACCCCGTCCTTCTAATCCTGGAGCTGAAATCCTTCCAGGCATGGCTATGAGACCCTTTTTTGGGATCAGCCCCTCCCTCTTGGATGACAAGGTATGTTTATAACCTGCAGTCCAGGTGCTGGCTCAGCCCCCTTTCCCCCAGGTGCTTGCTGTGTGTACTTGCCAATGGGAATGGAAATCTGTAAGCATCTCTTTCCTGCTCATCTCTGCTAGACCACAACCTTCCTTACTGGAAAGGCACAAACAGGGAAGCTGTTCTTCCAGCTAGTGCAGAAATTGAGTTGTTGTCCAGCTTGCACTGTCCTGATAAGAGAGGCTGTGTTTGGACTCCCTGGCACATCCTTCCATGAAGGACAGGGCTGGGCAGGGACAGCCAGTCTCCCTGGAGAGGCCTTGCATCCCACCATGGGAGGCATTTTGTTGCAGGCATATGCTGGGAGAGACTAAGCCTGTCCTGTTGAAGTGAGGCACACAGGACCCTCCTCACTGCCCTCCCTTACATTTCCATCACAGCGCTGTTAAACAGGCAGTATCTACACATGCCAAGTATCTTCAGCCATGGTTACTAAAAGGTAACTATTTTACAGGGAAATGTCCTTCTGGGAAATGATGTCTCAGGAGCTCTTTGCATCTCACAAGCCTGGCCTGGTATGGCACGAACCATTTACAATGACCACAAGAGATTTCTGAAAACTTACCTGACTTCTTATCCAGGTAAGGAAAACATGTGGCAAGATACTTGCACACATTTGATTGGGCATGGTTGGGTCCACTTGCTGGCTTTCTGTATGGGGCAGGATTCAGGAGAGCTGGTATTGCTCCTTTGTTCTTCCAGAGACCCTCCACAGTCCTGGAGCCTTTCATCTCCCCAGGTCTGATATCACAGCAGTGCCCCTCACCAACCTTCCCAACTGGACCACACATTGTTTTAAGGCAGTGGATTTGTCCTTCTGCCCCCAGTCCCCTTGAGCACAGACCTCTTGCTGCATCTCTTGCAAACCCTGTCAGCCTCTGTGACTCACCCAGAGCGCTGAGCAAGCCCAAGAGTGTGTGTCTGTCTTGATGTAATGCAAGGAGAAGCAGCAAGACCACAGGCACCTGCACTGGAGCAAAGTACCCCCAGCACATGATGATGAGACAGGCACAGCATTAGCCAGTACAGTGCAGAATGAGGGCAGGAGCCTGATGATAGAGCAGGTACCAACTTAGGCAGAAGACTAACAAGGAAGGTGGACACATTTACCCTGAGCAGTTGAGGAAGAAGCAGAGTACATGGGCCCTGAAGCCAACAGAGAGGAGGAAAGGAAATATAGCTGAGTATGGCTGCTGAGCAGCTCACATGCTCCCTCCAGCAAGTGACTATGGCATGGTTCTGGCTACTGCAGGATTTTTCTTCACTGGGGATGGTGTGTATCGTACCAGTGAGGGCTACTACCAGCTAACAGGACGGCTGGATGACATCATTAGCATCAGTGGACACCGGCTGGGCACTGCAGAGGTGGAGAATGTTGTGGTAAGAGATGTGGGGGGGAGGTAAAGCCATCCAAACTAAAGCAGTCAGGGGCAGGAGGAAAAGATCAGTGCTTGCAGACCTACTGAGGCAGGAAGGAAAAAGGGCAGAGGCCATCTGAGGTCCTTCCTTATCCCCCTGCGTTATTGTGGGCTGCAGCAGCCAAATCAGGTCAGGGCAGCTCCAGGGGGCAGCCAGCCTGCCAAAAGCACTGAGTCAAAGCCCTGCCCTGTTCTCTTCCAGAATCACCATGTGGCAGTGGCAGAGTCTGCTGTCATTGGCTACCCACATGAGATCAAGGGAGAAGGTAAGATGTTTTCTTTCCTGCCCCGAAACATCTCCTGGGGCTATGGCACTGTGGTGGGAAGTGGGACTGGTAGCAGTGCTGTGTCCACACCATACAGCATGTTAGTGGGGATCTCAGCACATCCATCACAACCTGCACCTGCCCACCAACCAGCTAGGCTTTGCCTAAGGTGGCAGCAGCATAGGGTGGCAGCAGCAGTGCTTCTGTGTAGCCAAAAGCACGAAGTTTTGGCTACAGAGCATCCCCTGAGGCTACCAGCAGAGAGGGGCTCTCCTGGCACTAGGACCAGGCAGGTCTCAGGGGCATGGTATGCACCATGCTCAGTGACCTGGTGGTCCTTCTGCCAGGAGCCTATGTGTTTGTTGTGCTGAAGAAGGCCAGTGACTACACACAGGAGACTCTTGCTGCTGAGCTACAGGAGCTCATCTCAAAGAAGATTGCTAAGTATGCAGCTCCAGATTATGTTCAGGTAACACAAGCAAACTGTCCAACACCCACACTGGCAGACTGGCCGAGCCCTTTCTCTGAGCCTTGACTCTGCTCCTCCCCATCACAGGTCACACACCGGCTGCCCAAGACACGCTCAGGGAAGATTATGCGTCGGGTGCTGCGGAAAATTGTGGAGGACAAGGCCAGTGAGCTTGGGGACCTAACCACACTGGATGACCATGAGGCTGTGCAGCAGATCATAGAGGGACATAAGCACCTTGTGGAGCGGCGGAAGGGCCACTAGCTTGGCTCTGCCAGCAGCCACCTCCTCCTCCTCCACTGCAAAACCAGGGAAACACCCAGAAAAGCCACTAGGCAAGTGGTGGCCAGTAAGTTCTCAGATCACACCTCCACTGCAGTCTTGAAGTGACCCCCTCCACAACACAAGAGACCCTCAAAACCTGCTCCATACACCCATGTAGACAGAGGAGAGAACATGTCTCATCATAGGCAAAAGAGTAAGGGGAGATAAGCTGTTTCATTCCATGAAAGCAGAGGGCAGAAAGCCCTCCTTGAGGTTCCTCGTGCCTTGCAGGAGCTGCAGAGGTAGCAGCAGGCAGGATGTCCAGCCCTGGAATAGGGATACTACTCCTACCTCTGCTTTGCTCTTTTGCAATAGTCTTGTCCAGGACCACTGCCAATATACAAGCATCTCCTCCAAAGCAAACCCCAGAAAGAAAACATGCAACAGTCCAGTTAACAAATATTGACTCTTCTCCATAAAAACAGTGTGAAAACAGGCCCCAGATTTTAATACAAAAATGTTCCTTTCACCTGTAGCCGTGTATTACAAAGAGAGCAGAGACGTGCCCTGTGCTAGCATTCTCATGCCCTTGTCTCCTGCTGGCAAACACAATTCTCAACAGAGCCACAAGGTACATAAATCTGTTCTGCAGAGCTGTGTATCCAAGACAGAGTTCCTCAGAAGGCACAGAGGGCAGAAGAGGAGGCTGCATTCTAGCCTCACACCAATGTATCCCAGACAAAGTGGAGGTTTCTCTGGCTGTTGTTTCTACAAGACCCACGAGGCAGCATCTTCTCTCAGGGTGGCCTAGGAGCTCAGCTCCTTTCTCTTGTGAGAGCCAGGGAGGAAGAAAGAGGCTGGGAGAAGGGTGGCATGGTTATGCCGACTCTTGGCAGAACTCCACACCATGTATTCAGACATACTCTGTCCATCAGCAAAATCCAGAACTGGTCTTGCACTGTTTGACACAGCTGCTGGTTTGGCAGCTCCATGTCTGCTACTGAGAGCTCTTCCACACATGTGCAGGTTCTGTGGCTGGCCAGACAAGGGGCATGTTCTTCAGTATCCTTCTTCAGAGGGGAGCCGCTTCAACTTCTCACATCGAGTGAGCTCCCATCTTCCCTCCCCATGAAGTTTCAAAATCCAGCTGTGGAACTGCAATTCAACAGCACATTGAGGGTTGTCTCTACAAGGGCACGGTCCCCCCACAGTGAGGTCCTCCAGCCTTAGTCACTCCCCTCTGCTTGCCAGAGACCTTCTCTACCTCAAACCACGAGGGAGGCATGGAGCACTGCCTCCTTGTCTCACCTTTTCCAGGCTGGGTCTGTGTCCCACACTAATCAGTGTCATGCCCAGCTGAAGGCACATACGGTACAGTTCATGTTCCACCTCTTCTGTCAAGGCGCTGGTGGCTTCATCTAACACTGAAAGAAAAGCCATGAGCCCCCCAAATCCTCTCCCAACCAGACATCTCCTGTAGGCAAGAATAGCAACTCCCAAGAACATTTCACATATTAACTGAAGCTCATGAAGAGCATTTGCAGAAGGCAAGTGAGGGGAAACCTAAGGACTCTGGTATTCCTCTGGCACAGCTGGTGTCAGGCAACTAGGAAAGCTGTCTTTCCCCCAAGTACTTGAATCCATCCAAACCACACTGTTCACCTCTTTGCTCTCCCTCAACCGCTGCCCACCACTGCCTCATCCCCATCATGGCAAAAGCCAAGACATGACTTTCTCCAGGCAGACCACGTGCCAGAGTGCCAGGCTGAACAGCAGTCAGTGTACTCTTCCAGCACAGACCCTACATGGAGCAGGTAGGATGGCCTGTGGCACCTTCCTGACTATTAAGGGTAAATACTACAGACCTGGACCAAATCAATTCAAATAATTTCTACAGCTTTTAGTTTGCCATCCACAAGTTCCTTCTGTCCAGATGTCACTTAGCTGTGCCACGGGCTTCAGGGGAAAGACAGGTACTTACATGTAGCTACCTGCTACTGAATCTGGCTCTGTTCACCCACATCCAACCTGGCCCTCATGGCAACTTCTCCAACAGCTCAAGCCCCAGCACAGCCTAAGGAATTGGCCCCATTAGCTAACCACAGATGCTTCTGTGGTCTCTCAGGACTGTTTCTCCCACTGCTCCTTGTCTTCTTTTGCCACATCAGGGCTAAATCTTCCATATTGCCCCACAACTGTACAGATGCTTGAGAGCTTCAGATATGACAGCTGCTGCCACACTCCCCAACACATGCACTTCTTTGCATAGCAACTGGTGAGCAGACTGACCAAGTTCTTCTGGTGCCATTGGACATGGACCATGAACATTAATCACCAGCTCCCCAAGAAGAAAATGTCTTATGTACAGCCTCTTGATTTACCACCATGTGCACAAATAATGAAATGTTTTCACATTTCACAAATGAATCTTCTGTGTGTCATGCTGCTAAAATAATGGCCAAGACAAAGCATGTTCCTAGCACAAAACGGATTTCATGAGCTGTCTCTGTACCGCTTCTCTATACACCAAAGGCCTTGTGTTTTTTTCTCCCCTCTTCTGTAGTCAGTCACTCACCTGCATATTTTGGCTGGAGGTAGAAGAGCCGTGCAAATGAGAGCCTCTGCATCTCCCCTGGGGACAGGATGTCATACCTGCAGCAGGGTCGAGATTCAACACCTTCCTCAAGAAACAGAGCTTGTTTGCTGAAAATCTTATGGCTTCTGATACTGGAGAACAGCAAACAACTGTCCCTATGTGTACCTTGTGCCCCCCTCCATACTGGGACTGGCTCTGCAGCCCTGTACACAGTCAGCTGCCTGCACAACACCACAGCTGGTGATTGTTGGCATAGATGCTTGGGCCATGAAGGCTTTGCTCCTGTATAGTGTCCACGTCTCACAGAACACAGACAGACACAGATAAATCCAGCAGCAATGTGCATCTGCTTAGAAGTGTTCCCCACTCAGAAATCACCCAAATACACACAGACAGTGGGCTCCCTTACCAGTTCCAGTCCACCTGTTCATCCAGTCCTCCAGCCCTTGCCAGCAAATCAGTCTACAGAGAGCACAGCAGACTTGTGAACACAGTCCCCAACCCTGTCAGCCTATGGCCCTAAGCATAACCACCTGCTTTTTGCCCGTCTCCCTTTCCCCACCTGAGCTGAAGTTGTACCATATTTCTCCTCCTCTCTCTGTCCCATAGACAGTTGTACCCAAGGCACAAACAATGTCCCCACATAAGTTCAGCACACAATCATGCTGTGCTGCCACAAAAATCATTCCTTCTTCCCTCACTGGTGGCACCAGGAAAGAAGGCAGCAGTGCTATCAGTGACTCACCAGCCCAGCCAGCTCCAGGAATCGCACAATCCTCTCATCATCTGCAGACCCTAGGGAGAGAACCATACAGCATAAGGAGAGGCAGTGTGTATGCTGGGGCCACTGCTGAATGAAGGAGTTGGTGAGGCAGGAGGGAAGAACTCAAGTATCTCCTGAAGCTCAATGTAGTTGACCTGACCACTTAGTTATACCAGATCCTGAGCTTTGGTAGAGATAGTCCCAAAGACTGACCCTCCTTGAAAGTATTAACCATGCCTGTGAGCAGCATACCAGGAGGTAGCTGGGCTCCACAGATACACCTGAGATTTGCCCCAGTTCATGGCCACAGCCAGAACACAAGGATCCAGGCTTCAACTGCCAAGGCCCTGCCCAGTTTCTCTCTTAGAGCTGAGACTGCACACTACAAGTAGTGGAGTCATGGGAACAGGGCTCAGGTAAGAGCCAGCAAAACGACCCTTTGTGGAAGAGAAATACCTCAGGGTGAGTCAGCTGTGGAGCAGAACATACACTTGAGCTGGTACAGTTAGCATCTATGGAAGTTGAGAGGAAGGGCTGTGCATCTGCCATGGACCTCTCTGAAGCTGCTGGAGAGCCACAACAGTAGCTGAGGGCTGTAGTTACTCTCAGCAAGATTGTGACTCCCAAGCTACAGCAGACCACATGTGGTCTGGCTTCGGAAGAGGGTAGGGGAGAGAAAAGATCTATATATTCTGACCACAACAGTGTGCAAAGCCCTGGGACTTCATTTTGAAAAAGTGGAAAAGTAAAAGATGGAGGTGGATGGAAAATAAGATTAAGGCAAATATGGCTTGCTGAAAGTCAGACTGTACCAAACAAATCAGACGTATCCTGACAGCAACATGTAACATGTCCAGCACAGCAGGAAGAGCATGGCCAGCTTGTCCTCATTATACTAAGAGAGCAAGTTCTTATCAAGTGAGTATGCTCCCTCACAAAAGGAGGGGGACACAGAATTGACCTTAACACACACTAATCTTCTAGGGAACACCAGAGCAACAAAAGCAAAATGGTTGAATGTTCCTGATGGGTTACAGCAGGGAAGAAGCTGCACTGGGTACAGGACAGTGAGGCACTACCACAGCATTGGTTAATTGCTCTAATGGATTTTCACAAACCTGAAAGTGGATAGATCTCCTTCAGGGGATAGATCACCTGTTTAACAGAGCAAAAGAAACCATGTCAGAGGGAGCTGGACATTTCATCAGAGATGCAATAATTTGAACTCAGGCACAAGGGAAGGAGCACCCACAGGTATCCTCCCTCTTGCAGGGTTTGCAGGGCATGACCACAGCTGGGAGCACAGCTGAGGCCAGAGCAAAGACAGACCCTGGGCTCACCTGCTCACGCAGGCTTCCGTCAGTGAAGAAGGGCCTCTGTGGTAGGAACACCACTCCTCGGGGGCCAAAGCAGGTCAGCATGCTGATGCTCCCTGCACAGAGACACTCATCACATCTGCAGTATCAGGCAGGAACTTCCCACTGCCCCATGTAGTGCTGTCCCATGAAGTAGCCAACTAGACCCCCACAAAAGTGTGTTTGCAACACAGAGCAAAGCAATGAGAGCCAAAGACTGTGACAAGAGATGGGTGGCTCAAATTAGTGTATCAGTAACACATTCACCATCACATGGTGGCACTGGCCTCACAAACTACCACACTGCCACCTTGCAAACTCAGGGTAGCCTTGGTTGAGAAGAAGGCTGAGGCAAGTAGCAGTCCTCACCCCGTGTGCTCTCCCAGAGCCCTCCAAGGACCCTCAGGAGAGATGTCTTCCCTGTACCAGTGTTTCCCACAATCATCACGCTGTTTCCTTGTGAGATCCTGAGGTTCAAGTCCTTGATGAGCAGCTTGCCAGAGGATGGTACTGAGAGTGTCACTCGCTCCAGAAGGAAAGCTGTGTCCCTTGGCACTGGCTCCTCCCCAGAATGGTTGCTGGGCCACCACCAAGACAAAGGACAAGAGATCCGGGGGTAAGTGACCATGCTGAGATTGGCAAAAATCAGGGACCTTAGACCTCCTGTGCCTCTGTGACAGTAGCCCTGTCCCACACACCCTGGGAATGACAACTGACAGTGAGCACTGCCTGCTCCAACCAAAAGCATGCAACAGACTGTGACACCAAGAGCCACCTCCCTCCCATGGCAACCTCACACTCTGGCCCGTAAGCTGCAAGCCAGCCAGTTGCTGAGAGGCGACTCACCCATCCAAATCCCAACTGGTTTTGGCTTCTGAGTAGTTACCATTTTCTTTTCTGCCAAGGCTCAGCAAGGTCTCCTGCAGTTCACCAATCCTAGACACACAAGAGGTTGCATGAAAGCCAGGGACAGCTCCAGCAGCCTCCTCACAATATCCAAACTTGCTCATGCTTGCACACAAACAACAGGTTTTTTAGGTTTTTTTTATCACAGACCTGAGCAGAGTCTTGTTCTGCACTGCCCTTTCCTCCAGAGATGTGCCCACAGATAAGCTCACCTGTGTGTGTAGCCAGCTACATCAGTAACAGTGCTGGAGAGATCTATGAGCTGGCTGAAGCAGCCAATGAGGTAGATGGAAACAAAGGCATTCTGGGGAGAAATCACATGGCAGAGTAAGGGTCAGTGCTGAGCTGGGGCCATGACTTATTCCATGACTGCAAGGAGGCAGCCAATGAGTCCACACATTTGGCCACATCAGCTGTCTCAGCAAGATGAATGAGGAGTGGTGAAGTCATGCAGGATGGTGGGAGTGAAGATTACCACATTTGGAAGAAGCAGGGCTTCCCTACTCAGTGCAGCAGTTTTTGCCAGCTGGACACATGTCCTGTCACCCAGGGATGGTCTTTGCAGGGTGCCTGATGGCCTGCCTATGGCCCAGCATGCTTGCCCAAGTCACACAGATCCATACCACCAGCCCTGCCTCAGCACTGTATATGGCTCAGAGCAGGGTGTCTCAGCCTGCAGTGCCCACTTAGCTATTTTTAGCTCTGCATTCTCTGTCACAAGCCAGCTTTGAGTATTCGTAGAGTCAGGTCAGGAAGGTGAATGCAAGCCAGCTCAGCCTCACTGGGGGCAAGGCTCACCACAGGCAGTAGCCCAGGGCATAACCCAGACCCACAGCACTGCACAGGCCCCATCTCCACCTGCACTGCTGAAAACCAGAGGCTTTCTGACCTCCTGGGTTTTTAAGACACAGAGGTCTGAGCCAGGAAAGACTTACGTAAATGTGTCCTTGACAGTTCTCATGCCCAAGTTAATCAGATACCAGCTGCCTACAAGCTTCTGTTTCCATAACACTGTGAGCTGGGACAGTCTAACCTGAAGATCAAGTGCTGCAGGTTATCTAGTCCCAGGGCCACCAGCACCACATGAAACCTCCATCCTCAGAGCCTGCTCACCCTCCACAATGGGGTCACAGAGATTACCCTTAGCTCACCTTGCTGACAAGGGCACTGAGCTCTATTGGACTCAGGTCACCGTAGACACCAGAAAAGATGGGAATGGCAATGACCACGTAGCTCAGGATGCTGCCCAGGTAATCAAAGGTGTTGATCCCAACTGGGCACAAGCACATTGAAAGAAGACGGTGAGTTAAAGTAGAAACCTCTGTCCCAGCCAGGCCCAAGTGCTGACCCTGAGCCCAGTCGGAGGAAGAGCCGTGTTGTTGCCTTGGCCCTTTATGATGAACCAGAGTAGAAAAACCCATTTTGCAGGATAGCACAAGCACCAGGGTGAAAATGCATTTGCCAAGCGAAGAGCACTTTGGGGCAGGCCTCTGAGCAGAGAATCATCACCCAGACACACAGCTCAGTGTGTGGGGCAAAAGCCACTTTGCCTGCTTTTGCTATGCTTCGGGGGCCTGACTGATTCACAGTAAACAGGAGGGAAGGGCAAAAAGGAAACTTTGGGGTGAGATAGTTTGCCATGAAGTGTGTCTTGGGAGCACACAGGTAGAAAGACTTAAGATTCCAAATTCCCACAGACACTTCTCTGTTCACGGTTCTCCCTTCATTACACCACTCAGAAGCTTGCTGTGCTGCTGAGGTCAGGAAGAGCTGTCTTTATAGGGGTCATTGAAAGAAAAAAACTCAGTAAAAAAGGGAGAAGGAATAGTTTCAGGGAACAGCTATGCTTAAGGGACAGGTTCTATAGGAAAGAAGTTTCCACAGTTCCCAAAAACATATACAATGCCCAAAACTCAAGCCCTTCCCTCTTTTCTTGGTGTGTGAACATCTGTCCCACAAAAAGCCAGATTCTAGGTCATCCACAACTTTGCTTCTTTATGAGGCTTTTACACAATGGAATTCCTATTTAGCACTGCAGGAGGCACCCTCTATTCACCCTCAGCAGAAGAAAAAAACACAGCACCCACCCAACTGCTCTATCAGTAGAGTTTCCCAGTGAGTGGGCCACCAGAATGGAGTTACCACACGTCCCACTTCCCCCCCCACTCTGCCCACTCACTGTATAGCCACAGCTCCTTGCCTATCAGCTCTCTCTGGGTCTTCAGCAGGCTCTGCAGCCTCCGGTTTGTGCGCATGTGCTCCACTCGCCCAGCCCTGTAAAAGTAACATTGCAACATGCCAGACATCCTAGGACCTTGGGCTTTAAAACTGAAGCTTTGAACGGGCCTGGCACCTTTGCTTCTGACTAACAAGCTCTTTATTGACCAGGAACTGAACAGCCAGGACTGCCTTCCTGAAGGGTATCGTCAAGGAACCCTGGCTGAAGCAAGCAGTCCCACAAATCTCTCCCAGAGCCTATGGCTGCTGCTGTTGCAGCAGGAGCAGGTAAAGCCAGGCCAGACACTGTCAGAAGCTCCAGCCTGAAGCAATGTACACCTAAGGTCAAACACAGTTCCCAAATACAGCCTGGCTGGAAAAGAGGGATGGCACTGCTACACAGCTGGATCCAGAAAGTAGAGGGCAGAGGAGAGTCCAGGGGGTGATAATCAGCCTGCATGGCCAGCAGCCTTAGCCCACCTCTTCCCATTTCCCACTCCACAGGAATGGGACAAAGGCAAGTCCTGAGCAGTGCAGCCCCCAGTATGGGTACCCCAGCTCCACAACTTCCCCCTTCCCAGGGCTATCTCCATCAGGTCACCCACCTCAAGTTAGTGGTGATGCTCCAGTGGCCAGGCTGAGCCAGGAGCAAGGAGACATCTCCTAAACCACCACCTTTAAGCAAGTGTGACAGCTCCTTCTACTGCTCTGCAAGGCCTGGGCTGCCCTCAGGTGGTAAAATGCAGAGAGCGCTCCACGTCTCATTCCAGTCGCCCACCTGCCATAGCACCTATTGCCCCTGACATCCAGCAGAGGCTTGTGCCCACTACACATGATCTATGCAACAGAAAAGTCACTAGGACCCAAGAAGATATGACCAGAAGCATCACAAAAACATCAAAAATAATATTTTTGAGGTCTCATTTCTAAAGATTTTCAGTTCATAGAAAAATATATTTTCTTTCTCAAAAATGCACCTGGTTAGAATTCAGTTTGGCTTTACTGCCTTACAACACATCTCAGGTAACTACTGAGCTGCAGTCTTTACCTTCCATGTGTTAGGAAAGGAGAAAGGCTTGGATACAAGGAATTAAAGGTGAAAAAGGAACTGGGGACCTTTGTTCTAGAGCTATTATTCTGTTGCAGATGAGGAGAGATTGCTGTATTAGTTTCTTCTTTTCCTCCCATTCACTTCACTTTTAAAGCAAGTTTGCAAAAGGCTTAGTAACAAAAGAAGTAAAAAGATGGCAGTGCTCTGCTTCTGTTTCTTCCTTTACCAAAGGAATGTTTAGGCAGTCTTAAGAGGACAAGATCACAAGCTAGAGAAGTTGAGCTATCAAAAGCCATTTACCATATGCTTCTCCTCTTGCAGGATTCTAGGAATGCAACCTTTAAAAAAATTCCTTTATTTTTAATTATGATGCATACCATGAAAATGCCTGGTTGTGTGCAACTCAGCTAAGTTCTAGTTTCACACAAAATTAAGCTTTTCTACTAAAACATTGTAATGAACCAAAACATTCTGTTTTCTGGTATAATAATCCACTTTCCATTTTCTACTTAGTAATAGAATAAAACAAATCAAAATTGTGAGGGAAAGTACTGGATCTTAAATAAGGGCATGTAATTACAGTATATTTTCCATTATAAAAATTATCATCAACCAGTAAGAATCCGAGTACAAAAAATAACTCAGACTTGCCAGTGCAAACCAAGATTGATTTTGATTATTTAAAGTAGTTTCATGCCTGTCAATGTAAGTTGTTATGAAATCAGGCAAGCAGCAGCAGGATGGGGCCAGAAGCAACATGCAACAAGTCCTCAGCAGAATCAGATGCAATAAGACTTTGAGCAATCTTCCAGGTAAGGACCTAGCAAAACATCAGTAATGATCTCTAAGCCAGCATCAAATCTCTATCTGCCTCTGAGGATGTTAGAAGGGAGGCAAAGGAAAGATAGTTGTCTCCAGTTGCTGTGGATTACTTCTGCAGATGATGCACAGAATGCAAAGAACCAAGTGTCAGGGTTGTATGATGCTGCAGTGGAAGGGATAGAAAGCTGCAGCAACAGAACTTGGGCTCCTCTGGGAAATGTGAACACAACAAGGATGCTCTGAACTGGGACAATCCTTTGGAGGATACAAAGAAATTAATGCTACTAACCTGTAAAAAGCAGCTGGTTCTGCATTGACACGAATCTGCATGTGCTTGAACCTGTACAACCAAAAAAACGTAATTGCGCACAAATGCTCAGTGAATTATGTAGCCAAAACCATTCCTAGAGGAAACTTATCTTGCATGTTAGAGCAGTGATCTGAGGCATCTCTTGACAGAAATATTCAACAGGCTCAGAAAGACACCAGAGACCAAGGCTTAACATGAGGTGCCATCATTCAGGGCCAGCTCAGTGGTACATTTGATATCCTGCTCTCTGTGCACATCTTCTTAGCCTTGGGCTTACTCTTTGCTGCTAGTCCAGCATCTCCACCATACAAAATCACCACAGCCAACTGCCCTGGGCTGGGTTCCCTGTGCCACAACAACTTCTGTTGCTGTCCCTGGATGCCCTGAACCCCAGGGAAAGCTACAAAGCCCCTGCTACACACACAGCCAACCCTGCAAGCAAGGGGGAGGACATGAGTTGCAGAGCATATGGAAAGACTGGGCTGTGAGACTGAACCAAGGGCATTGCCTGCCATGACACAAGGCCGTGAATGGTTGGCAGGGACTCAGTACACTGACTCTGAGGCACCATTGCACAGGTAGCCTTCTCTGAGTGTGGGGAAAGTCACAGACAAGACAATTAGCTACATACACAGCCCTGAATGGAGACAAAAAATCAGCTTTCACAGGAGCTCCCAAGGGGAAGTGAAAACACAGCTCTGCTGGGACTCACCTGAAATCTCCCTCCAGTTTTTCCTGTTGCACAAGTTTAGACACAATTGGGCTCATCAACACTTTGTTAATCATCGTCCCAATGATGAAATACCCAAAGATGCTCACCGGGCCTAGCCAGCCAGTGCTACAGAGGAGAAAGAGAAGTCAGCCAATAATCCAAGCAAAAGGACACTCCTGCACCATTAGGCTCAAGCAATCAGAGCCCTCAGCTGTCACCTCTCTTGGCTTTCACAGAAGTTTGGGGCCAACAGTGCACATCCCAGCATCCCCAAGGCAGAGTTCTCCTGGGAGTACAGAGACCACTCACCCATGTGTACAAATATCCATCTGGGGAGTTGTAATGTGGGTGGCAGGCTCCAAAAGAAGAACACAGAAAAGAGGTGTGCAAGCAGGGCCAGGATACATCCTTACCTGTGAAAGCACTGGTATGTGTAGTAGGCCAGTGTGAAGGGTGAGATGACGAGCTTGCTGGCCATGGAGCTGAGCTGCCTGCAGAACCTCTCCACATCCTGGCTGATGCGCTGGTCCCTGCTCAACACAAAGAGCCATTGACACCATTGCAGCCCAGAAGCAAGAGGCAGTATTAAACCCTAACAGGGCACAAACCAGGCTGTTTCAGTGCATGAACACAGGACAGGCAGCAGGTGAACAGCCTTACCTGGGAAGGATCTGCAGATTCCCCACAGGAGACCATTTTCATGGCCCAGCAGAACCCACCCAAGAACCTTCATGGCACCCAGGAAGAACAACTCTTGCCATTGCTTTCAACCTGTTCCTTGTATTTATCCCTTGTTCCACTTTCAACATTATTCAACACTTGTGCTGAAGGTCTCTGCATCACTGTCCTTTACTCCTCTCCTGGAACGACCCCCATATTATGAAAAACTACTGACTGTCCCCCTAACCTTCAGTACTGGACTGAGATGCCATCAGACCCACCAGGACCGGCTAGAGCACAAGCCAGGCCTTTGCCAGCTATTGGATATTTGCAAACACTTGCATCAAAGCTACCCTTTCACAAGATCTAATCCCTTGGCTCTGTGTGGAGTGCCTCTGGTTCCTTTGTTGCAAAGAAGGAAGTGCTTCCACCCACCCCAGCCCACAAGAGCAGGAAGCAGCACACCAAGCTTTCTCACCTCACTAGCAGCAGGCACGTGGGTGACAAACCCTCAAGTCCCATCTATCCCACTACTGAGCAGGAGTTGCACTTGGGATAGCCAGGAAGAATTTCAGTATATTTACTCCTCAGCACCTCATCTGTCCAGAGCACATGGATGCAGGCTCCAGCCTACTGTTGCTAAGCTCCAGTGGAAAGGCCATAACTTAATGCTGGAGTTCAGAATGAAGAGCAAGGATGGACTCATGGGTAGTCTCAGTGCAGATACTACCACAAAGGCACTCATCTTTTAACACTTTTGCAGTTCTGGAACAGCAATAGATTTAATTCTGGGGCAGCTCTCACCCTGACTGACCTCGCAGCATCATTTTTCCTTCTCCTCAGACTGTAATATTCCCACAAAATTGTAACTTAAATTGTGCTAGAGTCTCATAGGAGGATACTGCTTTTTACAAGCTATTAAGTAACATGCAATGAAAATACATGAAACACAGGAAAGCATCAACTCAAATGCTCTACTACATGCTGCAAGTGCTTTTATGCCACTCAGAACCCACTCTTCATTCCTTCAAAGTGGGTGGCTCCTTGCATTTAACACTCAGTTTGGTTTGCACTGCATAATGGGAGGTCTCTCTTGCTCTAGGTTTGTTCTCTAAGTACCTGTTGCAGGGAAAAAGCTCTCAGCAAGGAATTGCAAGATGAAGAGAATTTTTGCAGTGGCACCAAAACCACACTAAACAGTAAGATTGAAAGTTGGAGCAGAAGCAAGGTGTAATGAGACATACTCCACAGTAATCCCACACATTTGGTCTGCAAAGGCCATGAGAGCTGTCTCTTGCTGCAGGGCAGACTGACCCAGTTGTCTCCTACATTTCACTGCACAATGTGAACATGTTCCCTAGTTAAAAATAAACCTAAGCAGAATAATCATGTGGTATGGGGCCTCTGTCCTTCTCTTCCACTTGTGTCCCCAAAGAAAAAGACAGGCATGCAGGAGCTTCTGGCTTCAGTGTGCTGCACTGCCTGGGAAGAGCTGCATGCCCTGGTGACAAACATGTTTTTTTAACCTCTCCTTGTAACTCCATGCCACTGAAAACACTATCAGAAATGAACATTTAATGATATTGGGAGTAAACACAACAGCAACCCGGAAGTGTTTGATAATGACGACCTACTGCCCAACATGTGGAGCTGTTTGACCCAAGCTGAACCTCTCTCCTTGCTTCCTGCTCCCCCTTAGATACCCAGCATGTTTTCTTGCAGCAGCCACACAAACCACCCTGCTCTGCAATGAAGGAGCAAGGACAGGCAGCCAGTAGCAACAGGCAGCAGAACTGCAGGAGCTGCTTCAGTTTCTTGAAGTTTTCACTATTAGCAAGAGTTAGGGGTCCCTGCAAGACAGCAATTTTTTCCCCAGGACCCTGGGAAGCTTGTTGTCTTGTCCTCTTGCCATCAACATGGGATATGGCACCAATGCAGTGACTAGATCAGAGGTGCCCATTCCAGCAGAGGAGAGCTTGGAGTCTCAAAACAATGGTATAACAACACATTATTTAGAAAATATTCCCCTTTGATTTCTAGTTTTTCAGCTAGTATTTAATAATAACAACTTTAAATTCTGGAGGGGGAAGAATCAGGGAGATTCTACACTGAGATTAGCTCAGTTGGTTAAAGCATCGTGCTAATAATGCCACGGGTTCAATCCTGTGTGGGCAACTAAAGAGTTGGACTCAATGATCCATGTGGGTCCACTCCAACTAAGAGTATTTTGTGATTCTCTGACCTCTCACATGAGGTCTAACATAGGATTTTTAGCTTTTCACAGTGTGCAACTATGACAGCAATGCCCTGTGTGTGAGGACAGGCTGGAAGGCCAAGGTCCACACACAGCTGTGAGGAAGGGCATTCGACCTTTGCAGTGCAGCCCAGATAGATCAACAGCTCTGCAGTAAGCAGGACAGTGCACAAAGCAAACTGGAGAGGGACCTCTTGGGGGTGGGTCTGGGATCCACAAGGAGACTGAATGCTCCTCCTCTGATATTTCAAGTCATCACTGACACTTCCTTCCTAGGAACAGGAAAGGGAAATGCAGCCCTCATACAGTGCAAAACAAAGCCCTTCCTGGATTTGGTTCCCATGGGTTATCAAACCACTAAAATACAACTGAACTGTGCTCAGCTGCAGATCCTGGCGTTCGAAGTTCAAACAGAACAGGGACTGTCCTAATGCACCAGCGGTGTGAAGGAAAGGAGAGGCACTGCTGACTCCAGCCAGGCCCTTTGCAACATCACACAGTGTCAAGGGTTGAGTTTGCAGACAGCATGTTTTATAGCAGAACTAGATAGAGCCCTGTTCCAATGGGCATCCACTTTCCTTGCAGCCGAAACATCCTGCCCCTAAAACCATCACGACCGGCAGTCACAGGAGTTCCCAGCAATAGGTATCACCTCCCACCAGGGTAGAAGAGGGTCCCTAGATTTGTGCCTAGATGGTAAAAGCTTCTAGGGCTCAAGCCCCTACCCAGAGACAAAGAGAAGTCAGGAAAAGGTGCGCAGCAGCCCAGGAGAAGCCAAGCAAGATACTGAAAGAAGCTGCCAGCAGCCTACGGGTTATCGATGTCCTCACGCAGCACGAGCAGGTTGTAGTAGACCTGGCCTTGGAAGTAGCAGCTGTGGAGGTATTCAGTGAGGGATTTCCTCCAGTTCACATACATCATGTTGCAGATACACTGGTCGAAACTTTTTAGCTGGAACAAGGGCAAAGAGATGGATGGGGAGAGATAAGTGAGAACAAACATTTTTTCAAAATGAAATAAAAACCAACAGTTTGTAGTAGTGACCCAGGGTATGGGCAGACTTGAATCCTTTATGACCAAGATCATGCCAGGAGCCATGAGCAGCTTTCTCTTCCTCTCCCAAGACACATGAGCCTCTGGTCTTACCGTGGAGTTCACAATGATCAGAGTCACAGCAACGGCAGTCAATGTTTTGAATCCGGAGAAGTCCTTGTTCCCTAGGACTTCATAGTACTGGCTGGGGATGACGCCGACCTGGTAAATAACCAGCTGCTCTGGAGGAGAAAGGCAAGCAGGGGAAGGAATTGATGGACTGCGGTGACAAGGCAAAGTGGGGACCACAGGGAGCAGACATGGGATGCAGCCCCCCATCCCCACCAGCCGGGCTCACCCAGCAAGGCGACACCGAGCAGCGTCAGGAACATGAGGGCGCTCGGGGAGGGCCACCCGGGAAAGAGCACGGCCAGGAGCCGCAGGAACCGCCGCAGAAACAGCCCGTCCAGCCGGGAACTAGCCCTGCAACGGAGGGAGACGCCGGGGATGGCAGTGAGCTCGGGGGTCCCACCCCAGCTCCCCTCCGCCACGCCCCGGCCCGGCCCGCTCCGTCCTCACCGCCCGCGGGCCCCGGCGCCCCCCGCGCTGCTGCTGCTGCCCCCCGCCATCGGCGCCCTCCGGACCTGACCGGCCCGGCACGGCCCGGCCCGGCCAGACCCGCCCCTGCGGGCGCTTGACATGAATATTCATCACCTCTCCTCGCCCTGCATCCGCCCCGCCCGGGGCCACCGCCGCAGCCGCCGCTTCCGCGTGCGGCGTCACCACAGAGCTCCCGCCCAGCGCCGCCTCTCCCCCGCGGCCGGGCGGGCACAGCGCCCCCTGGCGGCGCCGGGCGGGTGTGCTGCTCAGCGCCCGCGCCGTCGCCACACCGCGGCGCCGGGCGGGCCATCCCGGCGGGCCATCCCGGCGGGCCATCCCGGCGGGCCATCCCGGCGGGCCATCCCGGCGGGCCATCCCGGCGGGCCATCCCGGCGCGGTGGGTGTGCTCGCGTCCATCACCTCCTGCCCCCCGCCTGCTCACAGAGCCGGACCGTGGTGCCGGGCAGGGTCCAGGGCCGAGCCGCAGCCGCAGGGCCGCAGAACCGGGCACTAACGCCTCTCTTGAGGAAGGAGCAGGACAGGCACGAACTGATCCTTCTGCGGATCCCAGGGGCTGAGGGACAGTCGCCGTGGGCAACAGGTATTGCCCGCCTGTTAGAGGGGAGACAAGGAAGAAGCACCAGTACTAATTCTGCACGTTGGTCTTATTTTGGGGTGGGCAGTGAAGTTTCAGGTTGCTTCCTAAGGACTCACAGCTGGCAGTGGCCACTGCAGGGGATTTCTCAAGCCGGGACACTGGGATTAGGCAGCGATCCCCAGCGCGATGGTGAATGGCAGTGCGTGCTCCCCAGCCTGCTGCAGGAACGCGAACGAAGCACTGCGAAACCCCCGGCGAAGGGAGGGACTTCAAGAAAGCAGCAATGAGCTGCCAGTGAATGGACCCTCTGGCTTCTCAGTGACCCCAGTTTTAATACAGAAACCAACTATTTTTTTTTTCAGGTTTGGTTTGGAATCTGGTTTCATAACCCAAAAAGTTATGAAATATTTCAGAACAAGTACATTTCTAGACAAACCTGGTGATTAGAGATGAGAGATCCTATGAGCTGCCGTGCCTTCCTTACTTATGTGTCTCTCACCTACCATCCAGTTGATGCCATTTCTTCTGCAGAGCCTTTGGGCTTTTGCGTGTACCCTGTGAGCCCCTCTTCCCATTTGCCTTGTGGCTTTGTTCTTCTGCCATTTTCCTGCCTCCCAGCCCTTCTTCTCTTCCTTCATCCTCATCTCCTTCATCTTTTACTCTGCTGCTACCTGCTCAGTGGTCCAGATAATTCATACTTCACACTTCACAAAATCAGTGTATATGTTCTCAGGGATGAAAGAAGACACATCAGTGTGTTTCCTCAGCAAATGGCCTTGTCTCTAAGCAGTGCCCTTTCTCCTTGCCCTCATCTCCCTTCTCTCATCTCTTTTGGAATTCACAATGCTATCAGTCATACCTAAAGGTTAAGCTCCAGAGGGCAGAGATCAGGCCTATGAAAACCTGACCTCAGTGATGACTAACTTTTATGTTAAAAGAATCATGGGGGTTTTTTTCTCAGCTGTTGCATCAGACCTGGGTGACATTTGCTCCTAGGCAGTCACATCCTCTCATGGGGCAGTACTGCAGCTGTGGCAATTGTGTGGGTCACCTTGTCAGTGGTTACCAGGATTGAACTGACTCCTTTGCTCTGTTGTCCACTTTATGATGAGGGAGTATTCCTTCCCTTCCCTCCTCGACTGGTGAAATGGCTTTCCAGCACCAGGGGAGTCAGAGGATCTAACACAGAGATGAGATGGCCACAACTGTCTGTCCCAAGCCCGCCCTCCTACTTCTTCCTTCTCCCAGCCCTTTGTTCTGTCACTGGCACCCCACGACCTCCACCTGATAAAGCACACGCTGTGAGCTCCCTTCGGCATATCAGCTTCACGATTTTTCCTGGGAACTCTCCTAAGGCAGCCAAGATCAAGAACAAAAGAGAAGTGCTTTCTCAGTGCCTCTCCATCCCCCCTCCGAGGCTGTGCCCTAGACACTCAGCTGCTGTCAGCACAGAAACATTTACATCTTTTACAGCACTCCAGCTCTACTTCTCACGTTTCTCCCCCAGCAAACACCATGGCCATTTCAGTGTGTGCCTGGGGGCAGGGCTTGGGAAAGGACTGGGGAATCACAACTTGAGCAGAGTTTTATGGGTCTGTTTGCACTGAAGGGCCATATCTCAGCTCCCTGACTAGCTACAGACCCAAGAGAAACCCCCTCTGCATTGCTAACCTGTCACCGAAGTGTATGCCATGAATCCAGCGAAGGGAGAGCTGGGCCTGGCTCGGTGGGTCCTGGGCTCCTTGAGGCAGTGCAAGTTAATTCCTTGTGGTGTTTAACCGCAGCCCCATCGGCTCCTGCTTGCTAGGTGTGAAACGTCCCATCCCCCATCCTGCCCTGCCTGTTCCATGCATTTTTGCTCTGCTCTGGACCAGTGAAGGAAGCCAGATCCTCCTGCATCCCTGGCCTCCCAGCCCCTGGCTCACATTGTTCCCCACTGCCCCTCCATGTTTCCATTTCCCTGTGGTCCCTCTCTGCCTGCTGGCCTGAAGCTGGGATGCAGGGAGAAGCCTGACAGACCCATCTTTCACTGCCTTTGTGTGGTAAGTGGTCCTGGGTGTCCTCTGAAGCAAGCAGCAGCTTCTGTCATCACAGAAAGAAACACAAAACTGCAGCCTTGAATCTGTAGCTTGCTTTCCCTCTTTCCCAGGTCTTCCTTAATGCTGCTGGCTTTGTGATGTTGCGTAATGAAGCACTGCCAGATTATCCCCTTCCTGGGCTTTCCAAAACTGAATCCACCATTTCCTGCCCATGTTTCCAATTTCGATTCTCCTCATAGGTACCTGTCCTCACCGGAGCTTGCAGCTTCTGCAGTGTGGGATCACCTACAAGCTTTAGCCCTCTGTCAGATCATAAGTAAGGAAGGGGTAATGAAAACTCCCATCCTGAGTTTCAGCTCTGTCTATATTAGGGTGTGAACTAAACCAGATAATTTTCAGCTGGATCAGCAGGCTGAACTGACTGAGAGTCCCTCACACTCCTGTGCCACCCCAAAGCAGAGGGTGGGAATGGGAAACCAAGGGGGAGCAAACAGCATAGGCCAGGCTCAGCACGGCTTAAACCTCCATGGAGCCGCACCACGGGCTCCTGCTGTGATATCTTAATGATTCTGCCTTTTCCTTCTCCACACTCTCTGTCTTAATTAGCCTTTCCCCCTCCTGTGGGCCAAACTGCTCTGCTTTCTTTTCAATCCTCCTTCCTTGTGCTTTGCCTCTAACAGGGTCTTTCTACTGTACACTTCAAAGGCTTTGCTTGCTTCGTCTCCCCCATGCTGGCATTGGCTGGTAACACCCCCAAAGCAGGCCAGGTCTGCCATGAACTCAGTCATTGAAACGGCTTTGGGCCCTTTGGAACTGGGTAAGAAGCAGGCATAGGGGAGGAGAGGTCAAGGATTTTCAGCATTTCACCTATAAGAAGAATTATTAGTAACACAGGAAAAAAAAAAGGCGGGGGGGGGGGGGGGGAAGGGACCCCTCCTCCACCCACCCTCCCCAGAGGAGAGCCCGCTGAGGGCAGAGTGCTTTTATGTGCAAGTGGGAGGGAAGGAGAGTGTTAGGGCTTCACAGGGAAATGCTTTGATCTTGACTTTGAATCTCCTTCAGTTCCCAGCTCTCCCCCACTCTCCCACCTATGGCCAGGACCACAGGATGTGGCCAGGACTCCTAGTCCTTGCTCAGTGCTGCTATGGTACTTCACTTGCTGTTTCACATTTAATGTCCTCCTGTGCACCTGGGAGCCTCACAGAGGCCTCGTGGAGCAAGAGCACAGTGCCAACACCAAGTTCAAACTTTCCCCCTATCTCACAGAATGGGAAGAGAAAGGGAGCCCAGTTGGACAGAAGCCAGAAGGGAAAAGAGCCCCGAGATGAGCAGAGGTGAATTAGAGATGGGACCTATTCTCAAGGCTCTGGTACTCCAGGGTGGGGATCAGGCAGATCTGGCTCTCCCATGTGTCCTAGTGCTTTAGACTGGTCAGTGCTGAACATGACCCAGAAGATGAACTAGGAAGCAGTAACCATTAGGAGAGGGACAGGGAGTGGCTCTCAGAAGACAGCACTGATGTCCCCATGTCCCACAAAGAGTTATTTTAAGTTGGAGAGAGGAGAACAGCAATGAGAGCCCCTGGTGTTCTCTGCAGGATGGGAAGGAGGTGGCACTGATGAGTGCTGGATGATGGGGAACGACCCTGAGTTCTGATTCACTTCAAAGGAAGAGGACTATAGGGTGTGAGAGAGACTTAAGGGCCTCCAGTCTCTTGTCCAAGGTGGGATCTAATGTGTACGCAAGTTCCCCATTTCCCCTGGGAGATGAAAGTCCTGACTGGACCTTGCCCTTAAGCTGTCTTCAAGTTCAGGCCAAATACTTCTGTGTCTGTGTTGCTCCTTTTTTTCTCAGCTGAAGTCACTGCTGTTAACTGCTGTCCCCTGCTGAGGCTGATGCACTTGAATATCCCTGCCTGCCAGTTCTCACTTCAGCACCACTAAATAGACTTTTTCCCCACATCATCTCCTATTTATAATTTAATCACTCCAGCTCTGCTACTCCTGGCTGAAAACTTCCTATAGTTTGTTTCTTTCCCTTTCAGTATGATTGAAGCAGACCTGTCTGCCAGTCCAGCACTGTCCCAGGCATGCACAGACCAGAGGGTGCCTCACAGGACTTCTCTGTAGAGCCCAACCATTGCTCTCTCTGAGCATCACTTTAAGGGCTTCAGCACAGACATGAGGCAGTGGGTTCAAAGGTGGTTTCAGGCCTGGGAATGAGAAGTACCAGACAATGTGAATGCCAAAACAGGACTTCTGTCATTCACAGTAAACAAGTTACTACAAAAATTGAGGTGGACTTCATGTTTTCCAGGTCCCTCTTGGGCAATATTGCACCAGAACCCTTTGAACTTCCTTCTCCCTAAGACTGGTGGGCATATTGCAGCTGCAGCAATC